TTGCACATCACAATCACCGATAACATCACGCATCCAGATACTTTCTCGCATACGATCCAAATGCTTTTGCAAGCGAAGCACACTCTGCTTCATTTCGGCCATACTTAACGCATGATATCGAGTTGTGTTGCACAGTGAAAGCAGGCAGAGCAATGCAAATCGACGACTTCCGATCAAATATCGATGTCGCTGAAAGGCAAAAATTCGATAAACCAAAAAAAAGTGTGCATCAGAATCACCTAAAGTTCGAATTTTACAAAGAAACAGAAGACCGAAAAATCATCGTGGCCTTTTTGGTCAAGCAGCTATGGATTTTACTAAAATGCAGATACACTCATCGACAGCAAAATGCTTCTAATTTACATTTATTCATTTTTCGCCCTTCTTATGCAATGAATGAAAAATAAATTTTCCACACTTCCCGTGCAGCAAAACGGTTTTGGACTCTTTCGAAATGTTATGTATCTTATGCTTAGCCAAGTACTGACTGCACCAAATGGCTAGGATTTCACAAATTTCATACAGGCCTACTCGAATGAGTTTCACGTTGATGTTCTCATTGATGAGGACCTTTCTACTTATGATTTTACAGGCCGCGCGTCTTTCTTCCTCTTCAGTTCTTGCAATTTATCACTAATTTTGAAAATTCATCAATTTTACAACAATTATTTAAAAAAAGAAACACAATCTCTAATGCTCAGCTAAAAAAGTAGGGAGGCAGTTTTCTCATACTGAACAAGCAAACAAACAAATAAACACACTGGACAAAAAACAACAAACAGACAAACATAGGCCCCCCAACTTTGCCTCTTTGATTACTAATATGGTATTCCATGTCTCACTTCCATGCCACAAAATTGTTAATAAAATAAAATTGAAAAATGCCACTGCCCATCAGTTCTTGCTAGCATATGCATTATGAAATAACACAAAGAGGCCTAGACAATGAATCCAACCTTTAATCGATTTAAAAACAGTTTCGAGATGGCCACACTTTCCTCAAATAATCCATGCAGTTCCAGTGATAGCGTGAATAAATCTTCAAATGCGAAATCCGCTTTTGCCAGTAAATGATCGCAAATCTGAAACAGCAACCAGTGCAGCAGTAAATTTCAGAGATAATGCTAAATTATTACCAAAATAAGGATAAAAAATGACAAAACTAACTTTCTCGCCT